ATTTACATGATGACAGCATAGAGAATGCAGACGACACTCATACAGGATGATATTTTATTCAAAATAGTATGGTAGCAGACGAATGTATGTTCGATATACCATGTGAAGTGGAAGAGGATTGTTTTCCACCTAAATTGAGATAGTTGAAAAAAGCAACTGAAAACAATGAAATGACATCATGTAGAGTAAATTACCGTAATGTGCTATTTTTTCAATGGTCTATGGGTATATATCCTCCTAATCAAAATAAGTTGTACATCTTATATTTTCGACTATTCCTTCGTAGCATTGCCATTCGATCTCATATTTACGCCACAGATAGATCTTTGATTACTTGACTTACTGTGAAAATTTTAGTCTTATAGAATGAGAATTGATTTAGAAAAGTACAAATGTGTCTTATGTGCTCATGTGACATTTTTGTACTTTTCTCAATCAATTCTCATTCTATAAGGCCGAAATTTTCACAGTGAGTCAAGTAATCAAAGATCTATCTGTGATGTAAATGTGAGGTCAAACGGCAATGCTACAGAGGAATAGTCGAAAAAATACGGTGTAGAATTTATTTTGATCAGGGAATATATATAAGGAAAAACCACTGTAACAGTTATCTACTCGTCGTTATTCAAGAGTGCTAATAAGATTGTGCAATATGAATTTCTGGCAAAATATACTAGTGTTGTAGACGATTAATGTTTGCAGAAATTTTCTGCAAAGGTAAACTTTGAGGTTCTCATGATATATCCTGTTGGAGTATCGGTTTTCCATTCCATAATGTTGCTGCTGTTAAAATGAAATTTTGTGATGTAGGTATTGATGATATTATTTCTGGTGGCAGGTATCAATTGATTCATGAAGCATCGAACAAGGCTCTGGATATCCATGGTGAAGGTACACATGATGGCACCAATGTTGAGATCTGTACCAATCACGGAGGCAAGAATCAACTTTGGGTTATCCATGAAAATCAAGATGGAACTGTTAAATTGATTAATCCACACAGTGGAAAGGCATTGGACGTGTTCGGAGGACAGACTTCAGATGGAACTAATGTCCAAATTTGGACAGACAATGAATCAAATGCACAAAGGTGGCGTCTGAAATCAGTCGGAGATGGAATATATAAGCTGATTCATGCGTTCTCTGGCAAGGCTCTAGATGTCACAGGTGGTGAAACATCCGATGGAACGAATGTTCAAATTTGGACAGAAAATTATTCGTGGGCTCAAAAATGGCGACTAATTCAGTGTAAGTAAATTTAGCACAATATTCGAGCTTTTCTTGTCAGAAGTCGGAAAATGTGGGGGACAGAAGCGATTAACGTGGAAAATGAAGCTGAAAAAAAATTCGAGCGAAAAGACACTGAGATGGCTCCTCATCACATTATGTAATGATCTGCGAGAGCTTCGGACGAATTTCTATGCTACTCTAGCCTACTAACAAAGTTTTGCATGTTGCAGATACTAATTTGCAGTAAAATGTAATATTATATTACGTAGATTAAGAGTAGCGTGCTAGTAACTGGAAATTCCGAATCGATTTTCGAAAAAATGATGCAATTCTTTTATAGAAACTGATGGAAAAAAATGCAAGCAATCATATCTATCGTTCTTTTCTTTCTTCTTATTAATAGTTCATGGAAGTGAAAAACCATTATTTCATGGCATGGATACAGTAGAAAAGAAAATATTTATGCTTATTAATAGTCATCGTCAAGAACATGGCTTACCATTACTTGAACCATCTGTTAATCTTGCTAATGTTGCTCATACACATGCTGTTGACGTTGTTGAAAATAGCCCGGATGTTAACGGTGGTAATCTGCATAGTTGGAGCAATAAAGGAAAATGGAGACCAGTTACATACACACCTGATCATAAATATGCTCATTTAATGTGGAGTAAACCATCTGAAATAAGTAATTATAAGGGTGCGGGTTATGAAATATCAATGGGGTATGGGCATAATGTAAGAAAAATAATGACAATGGATCCAAATGCAACTGTCGATGGTTGGAAAAGAAGTTCAGGACATAATGCTGTGATGATCCAACAAGGTGCGTTTAGCACTATGCAAATAAAAGTAATGGGTGCCGGTGTTTATAAAGGATATGCATGTGTATGGTTTGGTGAAGAACTGGATACATATCCAGCCCCTGCATAAATACTGTTACTTCATTCTAAATATGCATGTTTTCCAGTTAGCGTTCAAAGATGTTACTCTTTGACGCTAATCCTATATTATCAATTTTTCTTTTCTTTGACCTTTCTGATTCCTCGTTATAAACAGTGGTTCAAGACACGATTCCTTATTGAGAATCTTACAATTGTTGGAGAAGTTGAATAATTTTTGTCTGCTTCTTTAAGGTTCTTGGATGTGGGTGTGGGTGTGGGTGTGGGGTGTGGGTGTGGGTGTGGGGTGTGGGTGTGGGTGTGGGTGGGTGTGGGGTGTGGGTGTGGGTCCGGGTGTGTGGGCGTGCGTGTAAACACTGATATTGATATACTAAGAAAGACGGAGATCACACCCATACCCTACACCCCACACCCCACACCCAGACTCACACCCACATCCACACCCACAACCACACCCACTCCCACGCCATCCACACCCACACCCACGCCCTCACCCACACCCATACCCGCACCCACACCCTAAAGAACACAGTAGATTAAAAATGATTTTATTAAATAATCAAAATAGAATCATAATATATTAAAATATCACTAAAACCATTCAATTTGTCAATGTTTTTTGGTGCACACGTAGACACGATCACTATTCGGGATTTT